GTGAGTGAAGAGACCGGAGACTCTTTATTACTGGAAACGAGGCATTCCATCTCAGTCCTCAGGGGTGGCATCTGCATTTTGATTCTTGATCGAAGATAAATGTAGATCTTATTAATAATTCTATAATTCTAGATTGCCAACGTGCTTGCCAAGTATGGTCTCCTATGAGATAAGCTATGGGGGAGGCCTTTGTTCAGTAGCGGACATTTTTTCTTAGGCTGTAATGTTAATTAATAATGGTATTATATTTAGTTTTTTTTTTCAAATAGAATAAGGGCGACAAACAAGAACACAGTCCACCTAATGGTAAGTGGATGCTGTGGCCCATAGACGTCTAAATTTATCCTCGATTAAGAATCAAAATGCAGATACGTTGTCACACCTGAGGACTAAGATGGAATGCCTCGTTCCCAGTAAAAAAAGATATTCAGTTCTCTACACTCACCATACGAAACACAGCAGCATTAAGCTGCTATTTTAATATTTATATATACTACTGGTATTCTGTGAGAGCGTGGTCCTGCCCCGGTCGAGCCAACCCATTCATGCTATAACCACAATATAGCTGCGGCGTGGCTCTACCACGTATGAAAAATCTAAAGTCAGTTTTACTTTTATAGTAACTTGTAAGTTTAATTATTTTTTAAATTATATTTTTAGTAACTTCGAGATTCATCAATTGTGGAGCCGTGCTAACACAATCCGAATTCGATTTTTTTTACAGGAGAGGGGGGTAAACGAGCATTTGGCTCACCTGATAGTACGTGACTACCGCCGCCCATGAACAACTGCAACACCTGGGGAATTGCAGACGCGTTGCCGGACTTTTAAAAAGGAGTAGGTTCTTTTTTTGAAGATCCCTAAGTCGTATCAGTCCGGAAAAATCTCTGGTGGTTGTCGATTCCTCAAGTAAGTTGTGCGAGGAAGAAAGCCTATTTTAAATCGCGCAGTGGTAGACCGCCAGTCATCCAGATGGTATTGATGGTATCGCGAGTTTTGTCACGATGTGCGAGCATGAAATTGTGCGGCTGGAATTAGTCCGAACAATTCCTTAGAGCACTCCCCGTGGCAAATGCGATAAAATACGCAAAGAGATGCAACATATCTTCGCAGTGCCAGAGAGTGTTCGGAAAGTGCTCGGTCGCCAAAATATTTCATACATCATTAAACCAGAACACATTTAAGTGGTTCCAAGGATGAAATCTTTATATGGTAACTAACTTTTTAAAACAAAGTGCCGTGGCCTAATTTCAAACACGATTACCTAATCCGGTTTAAAATATATGTTTGTTAATTGGTTTATAATAATTACTTGTTGACCTAGCAGATTGTTCCTTAATACATATGAAAAAGTTAATACAAATAAAAAAAGATCTATTAAAATAAAGATATAAAAGTGAGCTATCAGCTTTGTAATCTGACTAATCTAATCTGATCTGAAATGGACTTTTTTTAATTTACACGTCTTAAATGTTAACTTTGAATAGCGTAAGGACGGGAATAGTTGCTAACAATATATTATGTATTTGAGGACTAAGATAGAATGCCTCGTTTTGAGTTAAAAGGGTCTCCGGTTCTCTACACTCCCCATACGAAACACAGCAGCGTTAAGCTACTATTTCACGCTGGTATTCTGTGAGAGCGTTGTCCTTCCCCGGTCGAGCCGACTCATTCGTGCTACAACTATTCTATCGAGAATTTATTGATGGAAAAAATCAATAACTCTAACCTCTTTATCAGCAGTCGCGCTTACAACCACTAGACCAACGAAGCAGCCGACACTTTTTATAGAGCTTAAGTCTGAACAATAATTAAAAGTTTTGATTGATTTAAAAATTTGCTTAGAAGTAGGTAAGTACTAAAAAGTAATAAAACAATTTCCACATAATTTAATTGCTTCTGAAGTAGAGGCCTTGATTCTCAATAAACTATGTTTTAGCACTTGAATATATTATAAATAAAATCACATAAAATTTGCAAATAAAATGTATTTATATTAAGTCAAATCTTTTTGGTTTAGCTTTGTGAAATAAATTCATTTCTATATGTTTCAATATTGATTCTGATAGCGCACGTAGCCGGAACCACAGGGTTTTTGCTGAGTTAAAACTAATAAATCTAAGCTGTTAATTACCAATTAATTTGTAAATTTCACGAAGGCAGTAATCATGGAATCATGTAAAACACATATCGTGGTTTAGAAATATAAATTGCTTTGTTAAATAAAAAATAAGAACGTTGGCCCATAATAATATATACCTTAGCTTAAAAATATATAAAAAATAAGTAAAAATAACACAATTTAGGGAACTTTTTGGAGCGTCCCTGTATCGGCTTTACACTATCCGAGAGGGCCAGAAACCGGGAGAGAGGAATATCTCTTTGTAATTTGTAGGAACCTGGACTACGTAGTATTTGATATTCGTTGACTCCAGAGACTGCAAATGCTCATAGATCGGATTCTCTATGCGGCATCATTCTTTCACAAAACGTAGGTCGTCTTCTCGCGACGTACTTTTGTCCAAACGAGAGATGTAGAGCTGTATAATTTTGGCGGTCCCATGCTAGTTAAAGACGGGTCACGACCGACGTCTCCTCTCAACAAAAGTAAGCCCGACATATCAACCTTGTTCGGGTCATCACGGAAAATGATTTCGTACTTTGATTACAACAGGGTACGGTCGTGAAGTTGTTCTGAAAACATCCGCAAATGTCTTCCCTTACGTGAGGCTAGCGTCGGCGGAGGAGCATTCGTGGGTTCAGTTAAGAGCTGAGATGGCGGTGCAACGGCGACCGAGCATGTCCTAGTTTCACGGTCATCAACCCGCTGACAGACGGTATCGGGTCAGGAATACAATTACAGCGTGTCATGTACATTCTGCAACTGCGGCGAATTCGCAGATGTTGCATTATGTTGCGCAACATAGACTTCCTTCACGAACTCTGTAACAGAAACAGAAACCTTTTTATTCAATATAGATTATAAATAATACTTATTGAAAGTGACTTTTTTAATTGACCACTGGTTCTGAAATAAAACCTCTGTCCTGGGAAGAACCAACAAGAAACCCAGCGATACTTGATAAAACAACAGATTACAATCATATATGTTACAATTAACAACACAACAAATTAGAAATAGCTTGGTAGCGATCATCCTCCCCAGGGGTTATTACCATCCATAATTTTTTAATATTATAGCGGCACTTTCCGATTCCTCAAGTTTAAAACGGATATCGGTGACTTCTGCTTTCAACATGGTGATATTTTTCAACTAATTGGTCACGTTTACGTAATTTAACGTCACGGGAGGCACATTGTTAAGATCATACTATGAAAAATATAAAATATAATAAAAAATAACTATGAAAGATATGAAAAATGTGAAAGATATAACAGAAAGTTGAAAACTATTTATATGGATTTTATCGCGTTTAATTAACTTATTTTTAATTCCCGACATTTCTGGTGCTTCACAGCACCCATGGTAACGGGGGGGGGAGGGGACTGAGATGTTTGACATCCCAATGTCATAGTTAGCTTTTAATATAAATTTTTGGACCGATCTACGCAGAATGAGCTAGGATGTTTTTAATTCAATCGCCTCGCGATTCATACGTGTTGGCAGGAATCTATGTTCTTCCTTGCGAAATATATTTGTGGTTTATCAAATCTTATGACATGGTGTGGCACGATCTTCGAATATGCTTTACAAAGACTCGCAGATTCAATAAATTAATTAAACGCGATAAAATCCGTATAAATAGTTCTATTCAATGTGTAGTGCGCAAATATAAGAAATCATTATATAGTAGAAAGTTCTTTTATAATTTTCTATGGCTAGTCTCCGTTGAGGCAGGCCGCCGTGGCCGAAATTCGGTCTGGAGGACATTATTGCAAATGAAAAAAAATGTTTGAAATTTCCTCTATGTTATTCATAGTTTACTAACGACTTACCCTGGCTTATTATTGGTAATATTTTTTCAAAATCAATTTATAAATATATTTTATTTTACTTCAGCACCTTTTTTACAACACATTTTTACAAGAAAACTACGAGTATGTGTGTTAATTTTTAACTTTCAGCTAAGAAAATTGAAAATTTTCAAAAATACGGAAGTCATTAGTTTCACCCCGATTTTCGAAAATCGAGTTTTCATCAGATCTCGACGTTTTGAGATCCCAGGAAGCTATTCTGACTAATTTCACGTGGACGACCTTTAATAACTTTTGAACGTCTTGATCGATTGAGATGCGGTTTGCGGCGTTCTAAAGATCTCAATGTGGAATAGATTTGGTGATAATATGAACTGATTCGAACGAGTAGACTTTATGAAATCCCAAAAATAAAAATTTTGAAAAATTGTTTTTTTGGAATAACTTTTAAACGGCTTAACCTCAAAAAAATGACGTCGAATGCCGTTTGGAGGATAAAAATCGTTTGATTCGTTCGTAAGATATCGAAGGAGAAAGAATTAGGAAAAAAACGTATTTTTAAATATAACTTCGAGATTTCGCAACCGAGCAAGTTTGCGCTTTTCATACTATTTTAAATTACTCCAATATTTCATATACAACGTCATAATTTGATGAATTATGGAGCACTTTGCATTTGAAATTAGCGGGACGTTCCAGGGATGGCCTGCAGGGTCAACCAATTTTTATCCAATTTATATTTTAAGCACTTTAACCTTAGAGTATATAAGCAAGCTAGTAAACAAACTATTATAAATTTAAATCATACACTTAGGGATGTTGACCTAAGCAGATTGTCATAATGGCCAGTAATAAACGGCGGCAACAAGGGTAACGCACTATACAAAAGAATTACTTCTACAAAAGCGAAGTTCTATAATATATATGTATGTATAACAATCTAGGGACGAAGTGGACAGTGCGTAGCGGACAACGCAACGTCAGTTTTGCCAAAGCCGTCGATGAAAACGTTTTCTGGTTGTTAAAAAAATAAATACGTAATTAACTAAAACTTAAAAGTAAAAATGTCAATGATATTTTTGATGTTTTTCTTTCTGCGCGGCTGCAATGGCGTTATCTACAGTTTAAACAGTAAGTTGTTTTTTTTTTAGTAATAAATATTATAATTAATTCTTAAATAAGGGTTCTCACAGAATGCCGGCGTAATTTAGCAATTTAATGTTGCTGTGTTGCTTATGGTGAGTGTAGAGAACCGGAGACTCGTTTTACTGGAATCGAGGCGGTCTATCTTAGTCCTCACGGGTGGCAATCTGCAGCTGCATTTTGATTCTTAATCGAAGATAGATGTAGATGTCTATGGGACACAACATCCACTTAACATCTGGCAAGCTTTGTGCTCTCTTTTTTTATTTATTTATTTGTCACCCTTATTCAATAAGAAAAAAAACGGTTTTATTGGAGTTTTGGCGGGAACTTGACCACCGGTGGATTGCTGCTTCAGTTTTATTGTTTGAATAATTGTTCGAAGTGGGTTTTGATACGTAGAAGTGGGGCAATTTTGTGTATAAATGTCTCCGCATGTGAACTATTAGTGGAAACGGTGAACACAAGTGCTCCTATAGTGATGTGAACCTCAAGATAGTGGGTCTGCTTGTAGTCTGTTTAGTCACCCTGAGATACTATCGACTCTCTCTCTCTCTCTCTCTCTGCTGGGCCCCGAAAAATCCCAAAAACTACGCAATGTCACATTCACAAAAACACACACATACGCATCAACACATTGCGAAGAAGTTTTTAAATAAATCATTATTTCTATAAGTGACTGCCTCGTTGGTCTGGTGGTTGTATTAGTATGACTGCTGATCATGAGGTCCTGGGTTCGATTCCCGGGTCGGGCCAAAAAAAAACTAATTATTGAATTTTTCCGTCAAGAAATTCTCAGTACTTGCCCGGAGTCAGGAAGTTGGCGGTGTCTCACCCCCGTGCCTCGGAAAGCACGTAAAGCCGTTGGTCCTGCGCCTGATCTCTCTCCGGTCTTGTCGGTTTACCGTCCCATCGGATTACGAGAGTGAGGGAATAGAGAGTGCACCTGTGCTTGCGCATACACTTGGGCACTATAATCCTGTCCTGCGCCGATAGCTAGCCTCCGCTGAGGCAGGCCGCCGTGGCCGAAGTTCGGTCTGGAAGACAATATTTTCTATAACTCTAAAAAATCAATTGCCGTGCGTTAGTCTCGCAAAAACTCAAAATAGATTGTGATGAATTTTTTGTGTGTATTTAAGTGGGTCTCTGGATGCTTTAAAGTCACAATAGGATCTGGTAGGTGGCGCTGTTCGTCGAGATCCAGAAGTTACCCGTACGAAGCCGGGGCGGATCGCCAGTAAATGATAATTTCTTATTTTTTGTCACTGGCAAAAGTACAATAATAAGAGTACATTACAAAGAAGGAAAAACCATGACATTTATTAAATTTTATTCCTTATTCTATTTCATACTTTAATTGGCGATTAAAACTTTATTTCTAACAATTCTAAATTATATGTGAAATAACCTCACACAAATTTTGTAAAATAATTAATAGAATTAGGTGTTAGTTTGGGGAGATCCATTATACTAAAGTCGTAAGAATTACCTCGACTATAACTTAACAAACATCTATCTAGTGACAGATTCATTACAGCCCATAGGCTTATTATACTACTTATATGGACCAGGTCATTGAAAATAGTAGAATAGAATAGATTTTTTTTTCAATATAGTTTACAAGTAATTCTTATTGAAAGTCAAATTTTTTACTTTACCACTGGTTCGAGAAAAACCTCTGTCCTGGTAAGAACCAGCAAGAAACCCAGCGGGACTTTTTTTAAATAAATTTTATAATGTTAATGGTCACAAAATATCTACTAAATTTATTTAAGAAACAGCTTGGAAGCGAATTACTGTTGACGCTGAACACATTCTTTTCATTCTCTTGTGAACTGAGATCACCGTCATCAGTATTGCAAAACTCTCAAACATTACTAGCTTTATTAATAGCGAAAAAATATAGGCTAAATACATTTTGTACCAACTATCCATTACAGCCTTTAAAAGTCCACCAGTGAACACAGTTATCAGATTTGATGAGCGTGTTGCCAGCTGAAAAAGTAGTCTTATTTAATATAAATAATTCAGGTAAAGTAAAAGTTACATATAGTCTATACAACATGTTACAAAAACTATGTGGCGTTAAGTGAAAGTAAATTATCAGAATCAGTTTTTTTTTATAGAATGAGGGTGACAAACGAGCACACAGTCCACTTGATGGTAAGTGGATGCTGTCGCCCATAGTCATCTACATCTAGCCTCGACAACGAATCAAAATGCAGATGCGTTGTCAACCGTGAGGACTAAGATGGAATGCCTCGTTTCCAGTAAAAAGCGTCTCCGGTTCTCTACACTCACCATACGAAACACAGCAGCATTAAGCTACTATTTTACGCTGGTATGTTGTAAGAGCGTGGTCTTTTCCCAGGTCGAGCTGACCCATTCGTGCTACAACTATAGCACTAATATATAACTGCAGCTCGGCGCTACCATTCTTACACCGCCATTACACGGTCAAAAGTAAATTCATTAAACCAAATATTTTATCGTTAAATTGTAAAACTATGTTTTATTTATAAGCAATATCATCTTATCAGTCTATACGACATCCAATATAGATTTTATTTTTAATGTTCAATGTGTTTTAGAACCATTCCTTACCTAGTTCTTACCTTACCCGGTCAGGATGTAAAACATCTTGACCGGGCGCAGCGCGCGCTTGAATAAAAAATAAGTTGAAATTAAGCGTTAAATCTGTCAAATTCAACAAAATTATGAATTAAAGGATAACTAATTAAAAAATTCATCAAACCGATCTTTTTAAACTATTTTTGTTTAAAGAAAAGAAACAGTTTATTTCGGCACAGACCACAAACATACAACAATATATTACACTAATTTATAACAAAAATACGAAATTTGAATAAATTTGGCTTTGTACGTTGAAGGCATACCAAAAGACTCAGCATGAGATGTGACGAAACCACAACGCAGTTCAATAACGATCTAAAAAACCCTAGGAGAATAGCAGCTCCGAGAGTACCAGTTAAAGTCTCCCCCAGAGATTGTCTCATAGGAGAGATATTTGCCACAGCTGCCACACTTTCCAAGCGCGCTGTTTTTATTTTTAGTCGCTATTAGGCGAATGCTGCTGCCCATCTCCAGATTTGTTTCCTTCTGCCGCGTCTTACCTTGGACCACCACACCACACCACACCACACCACTTTACGGTAATTTTAGTCCTATAACTTCAACATGGTGGTTGGCATGAAAACATTTTAGGTACTTTGTGTGACCTGATCTACTTATCTGATTATAATAACTTTTGAATGTCATTCGAAAGCAAGGTTAGAATTTGACGGTAGAAAATGGTTAATACTCTTTTCGGAATTTCTTCATTGATATGATCAAAAGGAAAATTTATTTTTGAAACTATCACCAAAAACTTATTGTAGAAATTTTAACGTGGTAGTTGCAAGACGAAGCGGTCAGCCCGTCCAGGGAAGGACCACACTCTCACAGTACACTGGCGTTAAATAGCAACTAACTGCTGCAGTATTTTTATGGTGAGTGTAAGACAACCATTTTACTGGTAACGAGGCATTCTATCATAGTCCTCAGGGGTGACAACACGTTCACGTTTTCAGTTTAAATCGAATAAAGATGTATGTGGATGTCTATCGGCCTCAGTATCTGTATACCATCAAGTGAACTTGCCAACCTTATTCTATGAAAAACGAAAGCTTTTTTTGTCATAATTATCACGCTAGAGCCCAGCGGTTATGCAGGCAAAAAGACACATAGTGTATCGTCGACATATATGCACGCCAAAGAAGAAAGTTCCCTAAATCGTATAATGTTTTTGTCTTTATATATTTTAAATTAAGGTATTCGTACATATATCGTCACAGTCTAACTACTACTAACAGTTGGTTAACTAACGCGTTTAGACGGGACAATCGTGCGATGCGCTGCGGGACGAGAGTCGCTCGGGAGGTGGCCGTTAGGGTTGTCCTATCACGTAAATAAATTAAAATGGTTCATACTATATGTGCAGTATAAACTGTGAGTCGTTCTCATTTAAATATAAGGAATTACAGTTTCATCAGTTTCCACATACATACGTATTTGCATAAACGTGAAATTAAAAGAAAAATTATTTTAATATTACTTCCCAAAAATTATTTTATAATTACTTGTTTATGTCGGCTTTTCCGACAACACAAAACACTATCTGTCTTATTAATAAAAATTGCTTATTCCAAGCTTAATTCAAAGTTACACTTGGACTAGTTAATCGCAGAGTAACTGACTATTTACTTCGTTATTACAATGTTTTTAATATTATTTGTAACGAAATTTTAGAATTAAGAAAAGAGCGTGAAGGGCAAAATTAATTAAATAACCATTTTTGTTTTGTTTTTTGGGGATAAATAAAATCTTTTGTACATGTAATTTTTGTATATTTATTTTTAAAATAATCGTTAATAAATGCTGCCCGAACAGAATTTCCTCTAACGGAGTTATTTACTAATTGTGTGACTGGTACATTTTCATCATCTCCTTATACTACATCCTCAAGCAGATCTTGTTTTTGCATTGAAATGTATATAGTTTTTTTATGATCTAGTTTAGTATTTAGTCCTCGCAATAAAAATCGAAACCTTTGCTTCCCTCCAAATCATTGCTCTACAGTGTTACGGGCCCAGATGTGCGACCGGTTGTACCTTTTCTACCTTTTGTTTAAGACGCAAGATACGAGTGAATAAATACGGAGTACAAGCATAACCAGAATCTCCGAGAAGTCTGCCTTTAAATTCTGACTGCTCATACGTTTGTTTTAATGCGACTTTCATTAAATATTCTTAAGTACATGTGTACTGCCTTGCCAATGCCCCACTGTATTCATGAACTCTAAATTTGCATTTGACACAACCTGGAGCAAACAACTCAAAACTAATTTAATATGTAATAATAGATTGAGGTAATTGTATTGAATCTAAGAATATAACTAAGTACCTATATAGCAAAGATGGGCTAGCTAG